TATCGAATAGTAGAAATATAGCTGAATTGCCCAATAGACTGACTACCAAATAATTATTCGGTTTCGGTCCCATCTATGGGGTTGCAAAAGAATACTTATCAAACCATAAAGGTAACGACGCTTGTTTGGCCGTTAAATAGTTTAGCTTTTACCGGTCAAGTTAAAAGTTGGAAGAAGTTATTCATCATGTAAATGAGAAGGGAATACTCTTCTTGGATACTTATCTCTACAGGTGACAGTTTTGGAAACAATTTTTTTTTAACTCACCTAACGAAGTGGCCGTTAGAGACCTGCCTGTGCACGTCCAGATCAATTTTGGTTCAGTTCAATTCACCGAATGTAAACACAAATAACGGCGGCTGTGAAACGCGACGCGTGAATGTTTACCACCGTACTACAAGCAAGTAAATACAAAATACACTGCAACGAGAACACTAACGAGTTCAACAACAACAGCAACAATGCAGGGTACTATAATGGCTATTGTTGTGATAATGGCCAACAATCACAAACACGGTGTTCGTCACGTAAAAGCGCAGCACTCTTTGCATCCGGATCATGTTGGAAACTCGGGTCAGCGCGGAGCATGCGCACATTCAGCACGCCCTGTTGAGCCAATGGTAACGCAAGGCGGAGCAAAAGCATTATCTGCTCACGTTATGGTTCGAATGCCCGGCCAACCCGCCTTTCTATTGTAATGTTAATTTTTTGTCTCTCGTTCTTTTATACAGGTGTTTCTGAATTGTGTACTTTCTTTTTGCCGTTTTGTTTATGTAGAGTGAATCGCGGCATATTGGATGGAGCTGCCTGCTGTCGAAGAATGGGGTAATAGATAGAGTCTATTTTAACTGACATTTTTGTTTGGCACTAATGGTACTGCTTACAATGGTACAGAGCACACACACTCGCTTGCTCTCAATATACCTACTCACGCACGTTCTCGCTCGCTCGTTCGTTCCTTCATTCATTCATACACAGATGTATCTGCATGCCTATCGTTTCAATACAATTTTTGCAAAGACACGAAAAATCAAAATGATTGACATTTACCCAAAATGGATTGTTCAAATAAACGTATGTACGTACTTCATCGTATCGTAACAAAAGTAATAAAGTGGGTAGATGCCTCTGCAAAAAAAAAAACCTACCCACTCTTATTGGTATGAATGTTTTTAGATACAGTTCCCTTAAATACTTATTTCAATATTCCTATTAAATGTCAGAGGAAATTAGGAAAAAACGTTTTTAAAAACGTTTTTAGAACACAGAAAAAGAAAGCGCATGAAAAAGACAACAGTGTATGGTTTTATTGTGTGATTTTATTTTTCACGTCAACTGTTGTATTTCACGTTTCCGCTCGGAAACAACGAACATTTATTAAATAGGTACAATTATCTACAATATTTGAGTAGGTAAATCCTCTACAATTAATGACAATCATTTGAAAAGAACAATTTTGCAAGTGTTGATAATAATAATCAAAAGAGAATAATGTTCCGCGCCATGTTGGATTGTTTGAATTGGGATTACTATCTCGGGGGGTGGGGGGTGGTCGAGTGCCCACTACGGTCATTACCAAAACGTCAAAATAAAAATTTATAAGACTAAAGAAAGTCTCAACCGGTTTACTGTAATCTACACATATATCCGGCTGTGTTACCTAAATCAAATAGAAACGGTCTTTTTTATAAATAAATTGTTTCTTCGTTTAATAATAACATACATTAGATATAGGATGCAATATTAAAAATAATTGTTCAATTAACCACGTCCAGAATGTGCATCCTGCTGTATCGAAACTGGTGTGTAGTGAAGCGTGCCCTTAACAGTAGCATACAACCCTCGACCACTGCCATTATTATCATCATAATACGCATTATGGGGTAATTATTTAATATGAATTTCGAGTGTGCCAATATTACCACACCCTCCCTCTTTTACTGCTTGCACACTACTTACGACTTTAGTGTGCGTGCGTGTGCTGTTGTTCGTATTATGCAGATATTAAACGTATGTATGTATGCATGTATAAATAGGTTCTAAACAGTAACTGTCATTTATTACTTAATGCATCCGAAAGATTAGGCTCACAAATTTTATTTTATTATTCATGCGCGTATTTACTATTTATGTTAGATCGCCATTATGTTTGCATCTTATTGTTATTGCTCATTTGCATAGAAATGCGTGTATGCCTTCCTTTAGCCGGGTTAAAAAGGTCGTGCTCGTAAGTATGTACCTGTAAGAGGTAGTTAGATCTGATGGCTCTTGAGAAACTGAGGTGTCTATACAGGGTGTTATAAAGGAAAGTTGGATCTGCTTACCACTGGAATGTATAAGGGGCATGCTTCATGTGGGAAATAAGAGGTATTCTGGTAGAAAGATTTCCCAGTTGTCTTCCTCATGGAGATCCCCATAAAATCAGCTCAGCCCTAAAACATATATAAACGTGAATATACAAAGAACTGGGAAATTCTTTTTTTTTATAATAAAATAATTCGAAGTGGTCCGTAATCGGTCGAAATTGCCAGACGCGGATCGCGATTTCGATCTTTTTGGATCTCATCAGCGCGTCGCAGACAGCTCCGACAGAACACAGACCATCTTTTACCTGCTGTCTTAACAGTGCGTTTTAGAAAATACCACAAATGGCGCGGTAAACGCCATCTGTAGTACGATGCTACATTCTAGGATTACGTACCTATGCTCCAAAAAGGTCCACTTGTGTGGATATCTACTTGCTGAAACGAATCCCGGCGTAGCTAACCTCAATGAGATAGGCACGTTACCATAATCGAATAGAATAATTCGAAGTGGTCTGTAATCTGTCGAGATTACCAGACGCGGATCGCGATTTCGATCTTTTTGGATCTCATCAGCGCGTCGCACAGTTTCGACAGAACAGAGACCAACTTTTACCTGCTGTCTTAACAGTGCGTTTTAGTTATGTTTTCATGGTAGAGGGGAAATCTTCAAAAGACACCCAGCCGTCCGTACGACTGGGTAGTATCGGATTCCCGAGGAAGTAGTTCTCGGAACTGCCAACTAAAGCCCCTCTACCTCAAGCCGTTCTAGGACCAATTAAGGTCCTCTTCCTCTGGTGTGGGTATGGTAGTGTTATCACATGAAGAGGATCTTAATCGGGCGCTTTCCGGACTTTTGGCTAAGATCAAAGTGTAACTGGGCAATCCCACCATCTTCCTTATGCTTCTAAAAGGACTATCGGGTAACGATTAATAAAAGTAAAAAGAGTCGCGTTCCTGCTTTTAATACGTCTTTAATTAATCAGATTAATCATGTCTTAGAAACTGTCCCGCCATTCCCCTTTCTTCCCTTTTTCTTATTGACTTCCATAGCGCTCTTTAGTCCCTTATTATTTTTTCTTCATCATCTGCCTATAATACCTTATCAGAGTAGAATGTTAGTAGGGATTTAATCCAAATTGGATCGGGCATCCCAGCTACCGTATTAGGGTTCAAGAAGCAACATTTGATAAGAACCGGATCAAGTATGTAACTCTTCAAATACTCCGATTCAGATCGGGCCATCATACAGGGCTCAGTTAGGGGTACCCTGTATGGTTTTGAACATATTAACTTATCAGGAGCAGACTGATGTGCTTTGTAAGGTTCTGACTAGAGAAGCCTAATGGGAGACAAATGATCATGCCTAGATTATCCTATTACGTGGAGCGAATTGTAGGGTATCGGTACCAGAGTATATATGGTGTGAATTAGGGTATCACACAGAATTGGTAATCGTATTTTTGATTTGTGATTTATAATTGGACTTATATGCGGATAGATGTAATATTGTTAATGTAGCTTGAAGCTAATGATTAAAAGCTTGCGACATAATGTCTTGTATTTTTTTCTTTGTATTTTTCGTCATTTTAAAGTCCTTGACGGTAATAAAAGGAATGGGAAGATCGACGTGATCTGTGAATTCCCCATGTATCTCAAGCTAGATAGTTCTAATTTTATTAAAATTTTAAATGATTGTATCAGGGTCGCATGGATTTAGTAAAGAGTTCCTAAAAGGATTACAATAAAATAATCCAGTCGAGACCAGACTGGGATAACTTAAAGATTCCATGGACATTCACAGTACGACTGACAAGTCAGGGTCAGACTGTGATAAATTAGGGGTTCTATGTAGGTTTTCAATAAGGCAGTCAAGTCAGGGTCTTATCGGGATTAGTCTCTCCTAATCCTATGATAAGGCAACCAAGTCTGAACCCTACATGAATAAGGAAAAATTTTCGTAATAGGGAATTACTTTCACTATCTGGCAGGGCAAGTATGGATATCGTGATACTATCCGGATGTCTGTTAGGGTTGGTTGCTCCTATTTCATTTCTATTTGGGTAAGTAACTCTAAGAATGTTTTTGGGTAGTGAAATTTATCGAAACTATGTGGATCACTATTTCCGATTTACGACTGGCAGTTTTCTTTAGCATACACCATCTGTAAGTCTCTTACTGACCAAACCGAAGTTAATTCGTAAAAGGAAAATGATATTTAGTTCAAAAGGCGTGTATTTGGTCTTGTTAAATGTTTATTGGTCGAATTTTTTATTTTTATAATGAAACTTAAAGAATACTGCTTTATATCATTAATTAATGTCTTTAGTAGTAGTAGATATGCTGTATTTCAGTTATTAATCTCAATAACTTACAAGATACTTTTTTGTTTTTGGGAAATGTTCAAAAGTCCGTACCACTGGATAGTGTTGGATTCACTACTAGGAGCGCCTAATACCAACTGAAACCACTGTAGGCATCTACGATCTCACCGCCCCTATCCTACGCCATAATCCTATGTTTTATGCCTCTACCGATTTTCCATCCTGGTCGGTTATCTTGAATCCTATCTAATTTCCTACTTTCCTACGATATCAAAAAACGAAGATTTTTCAATTTTTTTTCGTTTCCATAGTTTTTGTATTTTAACATTAATTCTCCTTTTAATCAGTGTCTAATTTGGCTTTTCTTTTCTAGGGCAAGTGTCTTCAAATATTGGGTGAGTTTATGAAAACTTTCTTTATATTTTTGTAAGTCTTATTCATATTTACGATTGCANCTGCTTATCGCTCTCCATATTTAAAAGGGCACCAACCAAAAACTACTGCGTAGAATTAATTGGAATTTTTCACACACAAGCCTTGCTATATGAGCTCTCAAAGCATATAAAAATTATACGGCGTAAATGTGAAGTTGGGTGCAAAAGAATACAATTAAATCCTCTGTCGGGAAAAAACGAAATGACTTTCCGAACAACCATACTTGTTTATCGAAGAACGAGCTGCCAACCGCTTCACGCCAGGGCTTCACGCGTGGTTTTATGTATCTACTGAGGCATATGTTTCAAATTTCCATCTCCACTATTCTAACAATGTGAGTCGCGTCACACGGAATACGAGATTATTTCTCAATGAAAAAGACAGGCGATATATTCCTAATAAATAGAAGCTATCCAAGAATGCTTCTGGCTCTCCTAACCCTATCCCCACCCGCAAACTTTTGATAGACTCACCGGAATGGTAGCTACCACATAACCTAAAATAATTCGAAGTGGTCTGTATTCTGTCGAAACTGCCAGACGCGGATCGCGATTTCGATCTTTTTGGATCCCATCAGCGCGTCGCAGACAGCGCCGACAGAACACAGACCAACTTTTACTTGCTGTCTTAACAGCGCGTTTTAAAAAATACCACAAATGGCGCGGTAAACGCCATCTGTAGTACAATGCTACATTTTAGGATTACGTATGCTCCAAAAGGGTCCATTTAAATATATGGATATTTACTTGCTGAAACGAATCTCGGCGTAGCTAACCACTACGTGATAAGCACGTTACCATAATCGAATAAAATAATTCGAAGTGGTCTGTACATAGTTTTATTATAACATCTTCAGCAGTTTTTGCTTTTGACAGGAATGAACCTAGTTTCATATTATTAAACATTTGTATATAATCAAAATGGATTACATACCGAAATAGACAATGAAATTTTTTAAATATTTAATTTAGTTTACTAAGCTATCTATTCATTGTATATAACTTAAGAACGTGTAAATATTGCTTTATTAAAACAATCAACATGGAACTCGTTAGTGCTCCCGTCTGTCTCGTTTCACACCAAACAACCAAATTAACAGACAAATGTTCGTTCATTCAGGGAATATGTTGTCAGTTGGTATAAAAAGTTATACGTATACAAGTGCACGACAATAATATTCTAGCCATAGGGTTTTTGTTGGTATGCTAACTGCTACTGCTACCACTTTTGGTCGATAGTGTAAGGCCTAAGTAAACATTGAATTTCTCAAGAAATTAACGAACCAACAGATTGACGTTCTCGTATAACGCCACTTGACTGATTCTGACCGTGCTCAAGTCCACGAACATCTTAATTTTCTTGAAGTAAACTTACGAATAATGTATCGACTACGTACGGACCGACACTAACTTAATGTTAAATGGTAAAAAAATGTTGTGCTTTTATGTTTAAAATTTATGCATCTATGACACCTAAAATGCATATTTCAACTAAAGACTTAATTTATTGATTCGAGCGTGTGTGATTGCATTTTAATTATTTATGCGTCGATTATCTCATAATCAATACTTACACATTGTCACATTTCTTCTTCCTTCTACTTTAATGCTTTTGCTGTTTTCTCATTCTGAAATAATTGTAGTTTCCGATATTTCTCATTTTTCTGAAAATACATATTCTTTGGGATTAGGAGTTCCGAGATTCCTTCCGTTTTTTATTTTTTGTAGAATTCAGTATACTTACCTTATTTAGTTATCGCCTTTACGTATACGACTTGAAGAAATATCATCTGGCACAATTTACTTAATTCGCTTGTTTGAAATTATGGGGTTCTATATGCTACATATTTCCGAAATATTATCTTAGCTCAAAAATCTCTGATACTCTTATATGTCATGAGACACCCATATCCCATGGTTCTTCTATATACCTTCCTGATTTTAATATGCAGACCAATCATATGGAATAATTAAAAAAATCATTTGTTATAATTAAAGGTTCTAGGTTTATTTAAATTAAAATTAAATATAATTTAAGTCAACGAATAAATCGTTTCCTTTAAATTCGCAAAAAAGGCAAATTGATAAATTACCGTTAACAATAACTAGGCATACTATAAACAAGAAAGATATCGTAGTTGAAGCATACTAAAACCTTAAATATGCGCTTTTTTCGAAAAGTTGATTTTGTAACGCGGATCCCTATAAGGGATCATCCGTAAATTACGTCACACGTTAAGGGGGTGGGCGAGGTGGTAAACAAAATGTAACATTGTGAAACATGCCAAAGTTTAAAATATTAAAACGCGAAATTATATGCAAACAATGCTAATACTGCTATATCATCTGCAAATCTGAGCATACTAATCTTTTGCCCTTGCACATCTATCCCTACAGTTGTACTGTCTTTAATGATGTTGATGGCGTCTTCGATGTATAGATTAAAAAGTAGCGGTGACAGTGTGCATCCCTGCCTGACTCCCTTCCTAATATTTACTTCTC